ATTATGAAGAGATGGGATATGATCGACAATTTTTTGCTTAATTTATAATTTAAGATGTCTAGAGCAAGATTGTAGTCAATTGATGGCAGGAATTGCCTTAGAATAGATATTAATAATACGATATCTTTTACCTTTACAAGATAATGTTGATTCAACAACTACATTTCCAAAAGGCGCTTCATAATACCATTCAATATCTTCACAGCTGGCATTGGAAAATTTAATTTTCTTTTGTAGTTGTTGGGAAGAGACTTTAAATTAAAAATTGGCGAGGTTATGCTTATGCTTTATTATCATGAATGTATTTACTACGATACTATGCCTGACTCAAAGAAAATTTTCATAATTACAACATATACAGATATTTATCTATAACCCTTGTATTGAACTAGTTCAGAGCATTATTGTATCATAAAGTTTACTAAATGTAATATTACAGAGAATTATCGATCCCTAGTTTATAATTGAGCCGAGATGGTGGCTGCAAAGACGTAATAAATGAACTGCGAGGTACGCTATAACTACTCTAAAATCTAAAAATTTCTCATTCCTAATGATAGAAGATTGTGGCCAAAGATAAACCAGTATCACACTACGGTAAAGAAAGCTATGCTTAATTCGAATTAACTACAGTTAAATTTGGTAAAACATTACTCTATCTTTTAATAACATGGGTGAAGTTAAGATCATATGCAATATCGCAACTCACTAACGTTTTGTCAACATTTTTTATTTTAGAGCATCAATATTGCTAAGGCTGAGATATCTATAAATTTACTGTATGTCATTTTCTTAAGATTGTAGCTGCTATTTAAGAATTAAGTAGTTCGATAAATTACGAAACTGAGACTAACAAAAGCTATTGCATCAGAAAATTTCTTGGCGATGTCACTAATTGATGCCAAGGCTATGATGAAGATTCTAAAATAAGTTATACAACACGAGAATAAAACGTAGTTTTCGTTCACTCGAGTGCAATATTACGATGCCAATATGAATAAAGTATCGGCAAGTAAAAGTTAAATGATCTTTCACTATACTCTCATATTATTTGCTACTTACCCCCTATATAAAAGAATCGAAAGTTCTTAAGGTGATTATAATCCCAAACACGATAGCGTACATTGATCAAATTCTTTGATTTTACTGGCAACGTAGTAGCGTTTCCTTCTTGACACATTTTCAATGACATAATCAAATCAGTGGAATTGATTAGACCATTATAAATAGCAATATAATTTTTGCATAAAGAAGGATTGTCAAATAGTTGGGGGCCAAATTCTACCCATCTAAGGATAATATAGTCAATATCAATAATATTGATGGTTACAAAGCAGTCGAGGTCTAGGTGAAGATACGATGGATTATTAGGAATGGTAATAGCACCAGTTGGAGTTTCACTCTTAATATTGCACACATCTCGAGTAACTAGAATAAAGTTGGAGAAAGAATGATTAGTGTTAAAAATAGTCTTACTGAGTTAATGTGCAATCTATATGTGCTGATTTAATTCATCACTAAAAGCTTAAAGTTCAACTCCATCACTTTACAGTGTCATTCATAAAGTCATGAGTTTACTTATTAATGCTGCTGAGTGCTTATATCTGTTAATTTTGACATATGCATAGAAATGAAACAAATTTCATGCTAATAGTCTACATAGTAATAGATAAACAGAAAATCTGAATGTATATCCATTTTCTTGATGATGCAAGTACTTACTTGAGCGATAGACACCTTCGAATCCTGAATTTAGCGAGCTGATCGTAGACGTTGTGAATGTCAGGTAGACAGTGTTGCTACTAGATGTAAATGATGGTGGTAGCTTGTCGCCAGAACAAAATTTATAAATTTTATTTTCTGATTTTAGCCATCGATCATATAATTCGATGTAATTCAAGCACAAAGAAACGGGAACATTTGGGCTGATACTAAATTTATTCCAGGTTAATTTTATTACGCGACCAGCTGGAACTTGTATTCTGTAAATGCTACAGGATGGAACTGGAAAAGGCTGGGGAAAATGGGGACTCTTAATTATTCCAAGATTGCCTTGATAAGTCTGAGTTACGCATGGAACATCGACTGCAATATTTAATTAAAAAGTACAAGGATATTAGCCGAATA